AATCATCCGATTACCAGATTACCACATCAGATAACCACTTAGGCTAGTAAACAAGGACATTGCTGAAGATGTTTGGAACCGATTGAGTGGTAATCATCCCAGAGAGGTTTTGCAATAAATCCGCCGATGGTTTACCAAACCTCCCTGAAAACAATCATCATGACTAACACAATACTAGATTGAGCCAATTCTGAGTTCTGTCCATTTCTCAGTGTTGAACCACACGTGATTGTTACCCTTGCTAATTGCTGGTTGTCAAAATTGAAATATGAAGATTTTATTAAGCAGACAAAATAGTGAAGCCTTACGCGAGCATCAGGAGTAAGCCAATGGATGTTCCGTGGTTCCCAACCCAGCCTATGCATCTCGACTGCTCCTGTCTAGGCTTGAGCAACCCGGCAGTATCTCAGGAGTAAGCCAATGGATGTTCCGTGGTTCCCAACCCAGCCTATGCATCTCGACCTGCTCCTGTCTAGGCTTGAGCAACCCGGCAGTATCTCATCACTTGTGCTTTGCTCGGGTGGCATTGCATCTAGACACCGAAGGGATTTTGCAGCAGAAGGATTGATGTTTTGCGTTGACGACTGCTAAGAGTGTGCAAAATGGCAACGTCTCTTCAGCTGTACCTACTTGTCGCTATTGTTAATTATAAATTACAAATATTATTAACAATTAAAATCAAATTAAATCGTAACTTTGGAAAATTGCAAATAGTAAATAAATTATAATTCCACTGACTGCAGGAGCTTTGGCATCTGACCACTATGCCGGCTTCGGTGTACCAATGGATTTCCACCAGTGGTGTTCTTCATGTGATTGAAGCATCAGAAGACAACCAGTTAAGCAGCTCGAAATTAGGGCAGATAGCGACGGAAAAAGGACATTGTGAAGAATTCCTCTTGAATTTAACGAAATACGCTCATTCGCAAACAAACATGGTTTTGCGAGAGACTCACCTGGAACCCAGCTGAATATCTCGTTTGTGATGTTTCCAAGAAGAAGAATTTTCGAATTCGAAAAATTTTCAGCAACCTAATGAGTAGTGCATTGCGAATAAACACGTACCTCTTGAAGTCCCTGTTGAAAGGATACCGCAGTTGTCCGTTTTCGGTGAGATCATTCTTGGAGGGAGGTTTACTACAGTGGTTAATTTCCATTTCAGAAGGAAGCACCCTGAAGAAGAGGCCACTTTTGGTCCTCACCCACGCATCCTAATGCACGCAAAAGGGTCGGTTTATGATACCAACTACCGTGTCCATCCATTGAAAATGACTGTTCGTTATTGGCTCTGCCATTGCAGGATAGTTTTCCCTATCGGTCACAAATTACGATGAACACTTGACTTGCTTCGATATTTTGAAACAAACCTAATGTTAAAAAGTGTGTGAATTTACCTTCATTCGTTCGTGCAGTAACCTCCCTTATATAGCAAACTGCTTGGATTCTCATCAAGTGGAGAGTCGTACCTGTCGTATGGTTTTCAACTTCGCCATACACACAGACCCCTCCGCATGTTTGCTCAGAGTTGCAGTTGGTATACTGTTCACCTCTTTCCACCCATCGCAATCATATCATGATAATGTGATGCAATATTGACATGACGATTTGTTAGTTTATTGTTTTCTTTTTCACTATCATAAGCTCGCTTTTTCTCTTTGAAATCGGGTTCTGTTCGTCCTGTGGATACTAAATTACTCTTGAGTGACGTGGACCAAACAGACCCACCCTACTCAATGTCAGCTACTCGTGCTCATTTTGTGGGTCACTGCTTGAAATTCCAACAGTTTCCATTTGTTTGTTGCGTTCTTCACATTCCTCAACTTAAGTGCCTCAGATCTGGACATGTCAAATCTTCATTTTTGGACCAATAGCGTTAGTTCGTCTGACAGCTGTATGCACCATTCATGATCTCTATTTATTTGTGTGCTCGCTATTTCTATTCTGTAGGCACTGTTTTCAGAACCTGGGCCCTCTGGTGTTAGCATTGGATTGCTCCCTGGTGACCGGCTTGTTGCCGTGAATGACACTGATACGCAACACCTTCCCCTAACTGACGTTGTGCAGTTGATACGCACCTTTGGTTCTTCAGTTACGCTATCCGTAAAACCAAGTCCTGAGCTGCTGGAATTTTCCGAACGAACGTTCGGTTGTCTCACGATGCCTAATATTGGTGAGAAAGGGGCGTCCAGAGATCCCGAACTCCTATCCATCTCTGCTCGTGCCATGGTTGTTCGACCAAAAGTTATCCACGCTGGTGGATTTACCAATCTGTACATGGGGATTTTGGAGGTAAGCCTAGTTTATGTTGGAAACTTGAATCTTCTGCCAAACTATTCTCAACCGGTGGTTTTTCTTTTTTTGCCTAGCCTCGGAGAAGAGCTCCAAAAACCTTAGTTATTCAAGACTTGCACAATTACGAAAGTATGGTTAGTAAGGTTTCAGACACGTTCAGGGATTCACAGAATAAGTTTGCCGCTAGGTGTGTAAAGGCCCTTACACCTCTTTTGTATCTTGTGCCATTACAACCGCCACCAATTTGTGCTCTTAAGATTTCGTGCCGTTCTCTCTGCGTGTGTTCGGTGCCCGACTGCGCAACAGATCGATTCTACCGGTTGCTACCACGTGAGCGTTTTTCCTTCATACACTTTGTGGAGATCAATCGTCCGTTTTCTGTCGCTTCATTTGTATAGCTGTCCTGACTGGTTAACTATGGATGACAGTTTGAGACTCTATGGTAAACTGGCGCGAGTTTCTCCATTTTACCTTTACCTACTAACCCATCACACTGGGTTGTCTATAAATCATATGAATAGCTGGCATCCGAATTGGATTTGCTGCTCAAGTATGGTCGAAGCACTGAGTTTCTGCGCACATAAGGGTAGCCACAGACGGTTTGTACTGAGCCAAATGTAGTGCTGTACGCCTTGCTTTCGTCCCGATGTAGAAACAAGATCAGTGGGTGAACATGCGCAAGCCACCGGACGGCCTAAATATGGTGGTATAGCAACGGAACCCGGCAACAGTTACCTGTTTATTAACTAGGTATCGACATTAAACTTTAGTTCTTTTAATTGTGAGTGTAATATCGCACCTCCCTCAGCATAACACCATGCGTAGGATGTGCTGTATTTATTTTTTCTTATCAACCTGATTCTGGGTTTCATTGTGGAGTTTGTTTCTTTCATCTTGTTGGCCGAAAAATTCACCCAAGCGATCATCTTCATTGTCTTGGCTGAGTACAGTAATGTTTGTTTACTGTCTTGAGGAAAGGAAAGCGGAATGGGAGAGTTAGTGTTGACTTGTCATGTGCGGCCGCATCTTCAGTACTCATTTTCAATCGATGCAGATCCTCACAGCTCCGCAACCCATGGTTCCTAGTTCTATTCAAGACGGCCGTGGAGACCACATCCTGGGGTTCCGGTTGTAGAAGTGTCATCGTTTTGTGTTTCATGTTTTCCATCCCACACGTTAGCAACTCCATGGTTTGCACCGCTCTGAGTTCGGTGGGGAAGGCAACCCTCTCTCCGGTACACAATAACTTGGAATGCACGATCACTGCAATTGATTGCGCACAATGAAGTCTTTGAGTAAAGTACTCGTCGCATGACCGAATACAATCGAAAACCCCCGAGGTGATTCTCCGCCAGTGTCCTCGACGGCGCTCCCATCACTAACGGCCTAGCGGTAATCCACGCCTCGAAGGAGACTGAACACACCTGTGACAGTCTTCCTATGGAGCGGAAGTTAGACACCAGCCATCTGCTCATCCTATTATGAGTTCAAAAGTGCTGGCCTATATCGATGCAAGCGCAAAGTAAATTAAATGAACCTCGAAGTCCACGTGCAACAGCAGTGTTTTTTTACAGACTGCAAAATCAAACACGGGAGGTTTTGAACACACAACACATTGGATGTATGACCTACCGAGTGCGACTAAGGATGGTGGCACACTATTTTCCCTGATCCTCAGGTCACTAACTAACTCATTCCTAACATCATCCGTTGGACCTAATCTTCCACAAGTCGCTTTATTCTTCGGCACTGCTTTCAAAAGTTTACGAAGGTTCACTGACACAACACCGCCTTTTCTTTGGTCTGGTCCTAAATTTCTACTATGGAATACTTGGATATTTTTCATAGCCTTTGGTATATATTCGTGCACCCGCCAGTTCCAAAACGAACTTGCTTAGAAACTGCCTCCTACTTTATGATGCCTGTGACATTGAGACATATAGTTACGGTTGCCAAAGACGCGAACCAGAGCTCTTTTTTGTCAACTTCAAGCCATCCCGACATTTGGTTAGTTGATTGGGTATAGTATGCGTCTGTGTACACCATTCGCCTAGTGTGCTGTGTGATTTAGAGTGTTAGCTTGACGAAATCAAGACATTCCAGCTGTTTATAATGCAAAGAATTACATTAACATCGTAGTCTATTCGTGGTCCGATTCACTTTGAGTAACTGTCCTATCCAATACACCTCCACTGTTATTAATCACTTTCTCTCTTCATATATGGCCAACGCTGAGGGTTATTTTATGCCCTCGAACGGAGTGCTCCATAAGTACCGCTGTATTTGTCTCACTTTGACTCATTACGCACTGAATTCAGCTACCGTGAGTTTCCCTACGTACAGTTAAGAAGTTGCGTAACCACAAGTTACTTCCCTGGTACCATACGTCATTGAACAAGGGCCTTTTCTAAACTGAAACCGCGCCTGGCTATCGTCCATCTGGTGCACGCCAATAGTTCGTTCACTTCTCCTCTGATTGACCGAACCCTCGTTTGATATCTTCTGGAGGACACTCCAATGGCCTGCCAAAATTTGCTCTTGTTCAGAGGTGACTTCTGCTGGGGGGAGAAATATTTGCGCCTGACTTCAGTCACTTGCCACCTCCCCAAATGTCTCGCAGTGACAGTCGTTCAAGGGATCTACAGCCTCTGGACTGTTTCCATACACGTGACCATAGTTATTCTCGGTTCGAAATGCTTCCATCGATGTCAGTACAGTAGCTGTGTCATCATCCAATTCGGCTGACTAATTTTCTTTCTCCCACGATTACGGGAATCCCTCGGTTTTGAGACCGGATCCCCACCGCACGGTGCTTTTGCCTCTGTTAGCATTGTGATGGGATCGGTCACGACCTCCCCTGACTGAGCTTCCCAACACCTTCCCAAATAAGCAGCGTGAACACTGATCAAAGCCAAATCCATTTGCTCGGTGGTGCTGCAATCCTTTGTAAGCATCGATCATTATCCAGATATCCACAACTTGGCAGACCGTCTGGATCGAATCAGTAGCGGATTGAAACAGAGCGCACCTTTTTCCAAATTCTCAGGTATTTCTACTCATCAGCTGCACATAGGTTCCAATTCGGAATTTCCTCGTAGGCCAGAAGAGAACATCACAGTTGTCTGAGCCGAGCTGTCTAATGCACTCCACGTCATCATGTATTTTCTAGCACTTTGAGCTAGTTCGTCGTAACTAATCGTAGATCTTACGTATGTAGAGAATATCCGATCGTTTGTGTGACTTGATATATGGCAGTTTCATCATGCTGTTGGAGAGCCTGGATTTTGCTTAGTTGTCAGAAGGGAGCAAGCACATTTTCTGTTACTGTAACGCAAATCACTTTTTGGGGATTTGATGCCAGTTTTTAAATGATACCGAGTGATCATTCAAGGTAGTCATATAATTCCCAACATGTGAGTGAATTTCAAGCCGAACAGTGTCAAGTACCAGCAACGCTACGTGAAATAGGGAGAGCAGAACACCCATTGCAGTCGGTGCACCGGTCAAACTAACCTACAACGGTACATCAAGCAGTTTTCCTGTTTCGGCTCTTCATGAAGGGTCTTTAAGGCCTGCAATAAGGAACCTTAAGGATCATTAAACCGCCTGACTACTTGTCGCACAAGCGGGTTTGGTGAAATTCTGCTCTCTTCTGAATAGTCTTTCTATTTAAGTAATCCATCAGGAACTTGTGTGTTATCCGAGCTGAAGGGTAGTCTCTCCAGGTCCACTCGAAACTTCAGAGGATCAACCTAAGGCCTCCTCTTCAATTATGAAAACCCTGTATTGTCGTCAGTGGGCGTACTCCCATTACATAGGACCCAATGAGGACATCTAAGTACCTATTCATTTACCTACTCAGCCTGCGTGCTTATTGATTTCCACTGTTTTTTCCTCTGACATGGCCTTCACTCCCGTCATTAGTCTTGCCACAATGGCCGTTCTGCCCGACATTGATATGCTCGCATGTGTGTGCGTGTGTATAAGTATTTTACTGCACCGCATTCGCAATCCATCTGCTCGGTCTATTCTGACTTATCCAACCATGACATCCGTGTGGTCGCAACACTAATCACAATCACAAATTTGATCTCGGATAGGATGACTACAACCACCGAACCAACATTCTTGTGTGCGCTGTCGGTCAGCGCCAAACGTGCACCCCTTTTGACCCTGCGAAAGTGAATACTTGAGGTTTTCGTGTACTCTCGCTTACTTTTGTGTAGATATTACATTCGACTTTCGAACTTAATTCTTCCTATTCGGGATTGTCGTCATGTGACTCAAAATCATGTGTGGGGAAATCAACACCGAGTATTTACATCATCTATGGATTTGATAACTCCGATATATTATTTTTTCGCACTTCTTGCAAACAATGCACCCATGTCAACGGACTGTGAGGTTGGCCTTACTGAAGCATCTACGGGTGTATTCAGAATAAACCACCTCCTGAGTATTCTATCACCCAAATCGATCCCAGTCATGCCTGTCCACACCCGAATGCATTCTTTTTTTTCCAAGTCGGTCATACTAGCACACGATCGATTAAATAATATTAGCCAGTGGTTTGAAAAGAGGCAAACCGTTGAAACGCCAGCTTGGACGGTTATCAATCATCAGTATAGAAAATTTTCAGCAGCAGCAGCCAGTCGGAATTGACTCAGCCCCACCCTATCTCTATTTACTGCCTGGTCACTGCGGGCGATACCAAAGATGGAATTATTTCGGCTACTTACAACAATCTCAGTAGACTATTTTGAGGCAGATATCGATTAGAGCGAAGGAAGGAGCTGTCGTCTGCCCTCGCGACAAGCTTCCAATTGCAGTAGAGGGATTTTTAGTGCAAAGTTCAAAACACTAGACCAAGGCGTCAGTAGTCTATTTCTCATGAGTGTGACGCATAGCCATGCGAATGTAACTGAGATGTAGTGTCCACAGGGGCGGCGCCATTGTTTTGTTTACTTTGTTATTTAAAAATGACCCTTGACGAAATGCATGCGCTCTTTCCACTATTCCAACTTCTGATGCGCTCAAATTTACATGAACGGTCCATAGTGCTTGCAAATATCCCATAGTGACCTTGACACAACACATCACTGGCTTCTTCCTTCTCGGGGGTCAGGAGGTAGGCGTACCCCCTGAAGTTCCATCAACCATACGTTCTAAGTGAAAGCAAATGAATGTATTTCATCCATCCCATATTATACTCTGATTTAATGCATTTCTCGTCAATCAAACCCTTAATCTGTGAAGGTGCGGCGAAAATCGGCATTCATTGTCGGCGTGCACTCGATGAGTGAATTTTCAACAAGTCTGTTCACCTACGGAGGACTACTGGTCCTGATTGCACTCAGAATGCCGTGCTACAGGCTGTAATTTGTCAGTCGTCAAGGGAAACTTCGAAAGATTGTGTGATCCGGAGGAGCAAACCGGAAAAAGGGAACTAGTCTAAACGAATTACTACCATTGTCGTCAAGTCTAGCTGACAGGATTTGTTGGTCGCAAAAGAGTATGAGTGCTTTTGAGCTCGACGGAACGTTCGAATGACCTTTGATGTATGAATTAATGGGCAAAGCACTCTAAGTCCTCTTCCAACTGGTTGGGGAGCTTAGCTCTTTCTGTTGATTCTCCCACCCGTCCAAACTTGGCCCAATTAAGAAGAAAGGATTGGTTCCATCGGAGCTTTTTAAGGTTCAAGCTGTTGACTAACCGTCCTCTATCCACAGATTTTTGGCACTTCCGGGTAGAAAACACTGACTCTCTGAGTGAAGACGGACGGCTAACAACATCACGATACCGAAATACTGGGAGATGTCATTCTCTGGACAACATTTTGGATACGCGCACTGAATCATCGCGAGAAGGGGGCCGGGGCTCCACATCGAAAGTGGTTCAGACGAATCTCGAGGCACAGACACGTTGTCTAGTGGTATCTGATCATTGCTTTTCTTGATATTTGTGTTGCTTTCGACACGATGGTCAAAGCGGCTGTTTGCGGCTTATGGTGTTGTACTAGATACGTTTCGGAGGGCTTCGAGGACCATATACAGAGAAGCGTCTGGGCGCTTTCGATTGTACTACTTTCCATTGCGAAACTTCAAAATAACCAGTGAAGTTCGCCAAAGCTGCCCAATATCGTAATCAGTGCCATCTTAATAATTACTGTTCAATACGTTACTGAGAGTGGTTCAGTTGTATCTCCAGACAAAAGACTCCATGACCCGGATTAAGAGGATGGCCTCGTGAATGCGGTAAACGTAGATACTATTACGTTAAGAGCAAGGTTCTTGTGCAAGGCTGACCTACTCCGACACCTCCTCCAGCTTTCTTGGATGAGATGCTTGGGGTCGTGAGTTTCTGAATACAACACCTCTAGTGGTGGTGACATAACTTCGGAAATGAAGTCGTGAACTACTGAGGCAAGAACGTCATTTGTCTGTCGGGGTTATTTGTAACGATCGTGGATAATTACCTACGTTTACAAGGGTCGATTGTACAACGCGTTGGTCCTAAAGATACTTTGCCACGGGTGTGTAGGCTAACGTGAAATGCAAAACGGATCTGCATTTGACCATCGTTGTATACAAAGCAGCTCGAGCATCTGCTTGAGCAAGCTACTGATCAATGCGGAACTGTGACCGTGGGTTCTGGGCATTTCGAACGACAACACCGATTGGCGGCGCGAACACTAGGGTGCGCTCTATTCCACATGTCAGGTCGAGCCTGGAAGGAACTTCGCGGAAGTCAGTCTATAGTGTGTAGGATAGCGCTAACGGAACGGCGTTGGTTGAGAGTCTTGATCACCTGTCCGAGTACTTTTGAAGATGCTTGAAGTTGGAAAGTGGCAGTAATGACACTACGGCGAACTCAATGGTTATAATGCTGCTCATTTTTATTGCCCTAACTCTTCATCTTCCGTTACTTCTTGTTCCAGTGCCGTGTAGCTCATGATCAGTTTCAATTACTATGCTGAATCAAGCACACTCTCCTACCTGAAAGTCCGAATTTCTTCAAGGTTATGGTGCATGATGAGAACAGCCTTAGCACAAGATGCTCTCTCTGGATAGCTTGTATATCTATTTCCGTAGGACGTGATTTCCGGATCATATCAGCGGTTTTCACAATATATGATGAGTCTGTCTACCTGATGACGAGGAAAATTGCATAGAATGAAAAAGGAAGGCAGACGAGTCTGCGGAGTTGGAAAGCGGAGGGTGCAATATCGTAGAAGTCTGTACACATCAGACAAGAGCATATGCTGAAGCGTTCTGAAGTGTAGGCAAGGACAAGACAAGGCATTTCTTTTGTTCATCATTGCTGGTTTTCCAGCAACCCTTTACCTTGGATACTGAGACGCATATTTATGTAAACAGCATGGGTACAAAAACTGAAGGATGCAACTAACAACATGAAGGAAAACAGTAGGACCGAAAACCATTTACGATGGAGAACATATCGTGCGAATATTAGTTTTAAAAGTTCGGCTGTGAAGCTTCACCCAGTGGTCATGAGGTGGGTGAGATAGGGAACCACAGGTGTTCGCGTAATAAAGTTCGTGCTCACCAGTGCTGCACAATGGGCATTTCAGAAGGTATTTACACATGACGGAGTGTAA